AAAAAAAAAAAAAAAAAAGAGGTTGGACGACGAAATTGGAATATGGGTCAGATCACGACTGCAATCTAATTCGCAGATAAAATGATATTTTTAATTTTATTCAATATTTTTTCTGAATATATCACAACAAAATTTGCAAGCATTATAATTTTCAGCATTTTCCATGAAGTTAAGCCCGGACCCGACACTCATGTGGAAAAGCGCAGGTTTTGGCGCGGAGGGGTTTTTCACACCCCACAGGCTGTCGGGCATGACCTGAAAGACTTCAGCTTCCGTTTCCACTCGCCATAATTATGGCGGAATCCTCCATGGCACCCTAGAATTCTGAAAAATAATACCAAAGTTACATGGTAGGTCCTAGAGAGGGTCTCTGTCGCAGATGGAGGCAGCGAGGGTGGACATGAAACGGACATTTGCAGGAACGAAAGTGCTCTACGTCCGAATGCAAGTCATAGCCCCTCACTACCCCGTTCGGAAAAAAAACTGAAACATTTTTTATTTCGGTAAATGGGAGCGACGGGGACACCATGCCTTGCAGTCGCAATGGGGTTCCGTCATCCTTTGAAGGTCCGTTCGCAGTGGACCGGAGCCTGTATGCACGACTGACCATTTTGCTTTGCCGCAGTGTTGTGGGGTCCACCCCTTGGAGTACTTTTTCCTTGGCCCACACATGGTTGAGTGGCAAAATGGAAAATGTATCGAATTGGTGCGGCAATTATTTTGTGGTCGTAGTGAGGTTTAAAATTTTTTATTATATTTTTCCTGGAAAGATCGCGACCTAATTTATGGATTCTCAAATTTTCATATGTTTCTGCGAATTCATCTGAGCACAAAAAATCATAAAAGTTGCCTCTTGCAAATTGTGGGATTGGACTTGTCGGTACCCCTTTTAACCCTGACTCAACGCTTGGGCCACATGCAAGGGAGGACGAACCCTCCAACTTTGCAACTGCAACGATTCTATGCTCGATAGTGTAGGTAGTCTGTAAAAATGCGGTTGATGGGTACCCCAACAATTTTCACTTCCTTAAAACCCACTTGTCCCATTTGTGTGTCCGTCGTTGAAAATTTGTCACCTTGACAAAGACGCCAAGGCCTATTATACCGCAGCCTTAGGGCTGCGAACTTGTGCAACAAGAAAACGAGGTC